CCCTCTCTCCGAACACTCCCTGGGGGGCTCAGTTGGAAGTCCCTTCATCTGCCCAGCTGGCCCACTCATGGTCCCTCAAAGCCTTCTCCCCACTTCGAGAATCCCCACCACTGCCACCATTGCCCTCCTAGACGGCTTTTCCTGAACGATGCAGGGGGCTCAGCTCCCTGGTGGATGGAGAAGACGGGAGCAAACACGTGCACGGGCACCTTGCAGGTAGCGTAGCTGTGTGCCTGCTTTGTTGCTGCTCTTGTGCCTCACCCCCTTGGACCACCCAAACGGAAGGATTCCTGGGGAGCCCTGTTGCTGGAGAGCAGAGAACCTCAGGTTGGGCTGCAAAAGTAGAGCTCTGCTCCTGACCCTTCTAGACTCACGGCTGCTCTGGCACAGGCAGATTTGCTCAGAGCCCGTAGGACTGCCTTATCGGTTTCCCTCCAAGCCTTTGGGAGACTGTGCTGATTTAGCAAAGTGGGTCCTGCCCTCACCCCAGGCCACGTGGTAACCAGATAGTAAGCCCTTTAGTCTCAGGGGAGGCTGCCCTGGGGAACTAAACAGCCCGCTTTTGGCCAAGAAATGCTTCGGGCTGGGTCCCAGGAGGAGAGACCCCGGCACCCGTCTGGGGCTTGTTTGGGCTCTGGGTGGCTCTAAGGCCATGTCCAGGCCTGTGCTGGCAGCAGTCCAAGCCGTCTTGGGCAGAGCTGCCAACAGGCCTGGGGTCTGATCTCCCCCATGATTCTAACAAGAATTCCACCTTTCGGCACACCTCGGGGGAAACTCTCACACCAGGCCACACAGCTAACTGGAGGCCCAAGGCAGCCAGCCACTCACTCCTCTCCCTGCTGGGGTCAAATCCTCAGGCAAAGGCTGACTCTGCCCTCATCTTCCCAATGCATTTTTTAGATGGCTTTCTGCTGATACCAACGTGAGTTTTTGTTTTCTAGGTGTGTCTCCCTTTCATCTACTGGTGCAGCCATTCAAGGACACTGAGAAACAATCTTTGTGGTTCTTTAAACTCTAATGTTTTATATAAGGAAGATGATGTAAAATCAGAAACTTTTAGGCTTTGTAAATATTTGCTCATGCCCCTACAGCTGAGGATGCTGAGAAGCAGCACCTGATGACTGACTGCTCTGAAAAGAGACCACAAGGAGGGCTGGAGGGCTTGGGGAGATGGTGGGGCTGTGGGACCCCCAATTCCACTCCTTCCAAACTCTCTTTCTCAACACCCACCCTGTGGCCTGAAAAGCCTGCGTGGCTACTAGGCCTGAAAAGTCTATGGCTGTTTCCATCATGTTTGAGTAGGTGTCTATTCAGGGTTCATTTTCACCTCATTCCAAAAATAAGAAGCAAAAAGGACTTTGCATTTTCCTGACTTTGAGATGCTGGACAAGAAAGAAATTTCCAGCTTCAGTAACTAATCAACAATGTTTTCTTTTGTTTGCACGTGCCTTTGTTTTCTGGCAAGTGACCGTAAGTACGGCAGTGGGCCTGAACTACTCGATCAGACTCCTTTCTACTTCTATGTCTGAAATGGCTAAATTTACTGTGCGGTCCCGAGGAAAAGAGGGTGAGCCGGTCTATGAGGAAGCTGTAAGTTTATTATCTGGCAAGAATCTTCTTTCTGTTCTTAATATAGGGTGGGAGGGGGCCTGGGAAGCAAGACATAGAGGGAGTGTTCTCTCGTGGGGGCTTTTCCAGCTTTCATTGGTTTGAGTCACACACGCATGTTTTATTTTTTAAGGAAGTATTAATTTCACCACAGCAGCACCTCTAAAAATTTTACCCCTCGGCTATACAATATTCTTTTCTATTGGAACCTTTTTTCCCTGTGAGACTCACTGAGGCTTGTGTATTGCTAAGAACGAAATTCAGAGTTACTATTTTTTTTTCTCCTAAATCCACACTTCTTTTGGGTGGGGGGATAGCAACAGCTTAATGAAATTTTACACAGAAGAGAAAAAAAGGGGAAAAGGCAAAATGTAATCAGTGTGTAACCACGTTGAGTTATTTTTTTCTTATTGGGTGGGGGGAGGGGACGGTGGTAAGAATATGAAAAGAAGCTGTGATTCTTTGCCGAATTAATGACAACTTCTCACTTGCAAAGTACTGATTTATAATCTCTTCATCATACTGCTTTGCCTGTTTCGAGGCTCGGAAGGGGGAAAGTTTGCTAAATGTATTCGTAATTACGTGCCCAGTTTCAGGAGGCTGAATTTAAGCAGTGACTGTACTGAGCAAACGCTTGCCTTCACATTTAGCACTAAATCCTGCCTGATTTTCCACGCTTAACAATTCAGTAATTTCCACATACGGCTTCATCGCCTCAGTTACAGCTCAGGATCTTGGCGCAACAGTCAGTGTTCCAGCCTGGGTAATTCACGAAAACGCCGTATTTGTGGAAGTATCATTCATTAAAGGCTAATTTGGTGAGATAGCCTTACTTAGCAGAGCAAATAGGATCTGACAGGCAGCTAGCCGGTGCGATGGCGGTACCGACTCAGCAAAGCACAAACACAATTATTTACATGACAACTTCCCATGGCCCAGCCTCGCTGGAACTGTGGGCTCCTGAAAATTGTGCTGTTTCATCGTGTCCCATAACAAAGAGCAAGAACTCTGGAAGTAAAGAACGGCTTTTGCTAAGGCCCAGGGAGTGCAGCTGTCTTCTCTGTGTCCCTGTGCCCTGTCTACTAAGCACAGTTGTGTTCAAAAACTTTTCAGGTACAGCTTACTTTTCTATTCTCTGTTGTGAACACTTGATTGAAATCCAGGTTTGCAAATAAACTCAAGGTACATAGGTGTCTGTAGGTTACAAATGAAGGGCAGGTGTGTGTGCGTGTGTGTATGTAAATTAACACAACGTAATAAGGTTGATGTTCCAGGACAGGCACTTGTCCCACACCACTGCTGCCTTAGAAACTTTCCTGGGACCAGGTTATGCAGAGTTTCTAATGAGGTGCCTTAGACTGAGGCGGCAAAGAGATGCAAAGTGCCGCTGCGACTCCACGGGAAGCGAGCAGAGAGCAGTGCCCCGGGCCAGTCGGGACAGTCGGGACAGTCTAAAGGCCGTCTGACGGAACTATGATTCACGATTTCAGCTGTGTTTGATTTGGGGGTGTCAAACGCTCCAACGCCACCAACAGACTGCTCATTTCCTTCAGACCCTGTCCATGAAAACATCTCATCGAACCACTGGGCAAAAGAAATTGTACTTCTGCCTTCTCATATCTCCTTTTGGCCTTCCAAGCAAAGGGGCCCTTGAAAACACCTCAGGCTCAACAAACAGAAAACACACACATACCCATATATAAGAATATCCCCCCAAACAGCCTTTCGTTTTTACCAAAAGCAGTAAACCTCCCTGCCCCCTTTCCTGTGACTTTCAGAAGCACAGCCTGGGGGCATCAGCTCTCTCCCTCACTCTCCAGGGGCTACTGGGACCTGAATCCCTCGCTGTTGAGAATGACCCCAAAAGCGGGACTTTGTGGGCCAGTTGGATAAAACATAAACTCATCTCGCCCTCAAAACCCCGATTCTGGGACCACAGCCTTCAACATCTCCTGTCTGGAGAAGTGACCCCTTCCCAGCTCACAGCCCTGGGGCAGGCTGTGTTGGAGGCAGGATTTTAGAGAATCCTGGTTAATTGAAGGAATCATTACAGGATTTTCCTGCAGGCATGACAGTTCATCTCACGGAAAGCTGGCGTTCTAGTAGGGAGAGGGCATTATCTGCCAGCCCCATGGGGAGATATTTTCCCTCTCTTGCCCCCAGACCCACAGTTGGGCCTTCAGTTTCCCAGAGTAAGACATGGGGCATCCAAAATGTCCCTTAACAAGGCGCAAAAGGAGTGCCAGTGGCGCTTGGTATGCCCCCCCTCACCCCCATCCAGCTAGAGTTTAGTTATTTGTGCCCTTAATGGTCTCTCATTAAAGTCAAATTTGCTGCTTGCCCAGATCAGGGGAAATCATTTCTATCTTAATAGCTCAATTAGCTTCTGGGTTCTGAAAGGCCACCCCCGTACATACACCTTTTCTCCCCACCTTAAACCCCCTCCCTTTTCCACAACTTCTCCTAAAAATAAATTATAAATATGGATGTGTCCTCAGAGGATCTGAGCGGCACATTCCAATGTTCCTCGGGAGGGGATTGGAAGCAGGAGAAACCAGAAACGCTACTCCCCCCACCTCTAAATCAAAATGCCTTTTGCTTTCCCCCCCTAACTTTTGCCAGAGCCAACTTGGCTGGTCTCCGGCCTGACACCCTGATCCGTACCCCGGAACCTAGTTTTTTCTTTTTCTTTTTTTCTTTTTTTTTTTTTTCCCCCAACTCCTGTCCAGCAAAAGCAAAGGCCAACGTGCTATGGCCGCCTGCTCCTAGGAGGAAGGGAGGGACGGAGGAAGGGGGCAGCCAACTTTACTTCGGGGAGGTGGTAACTCTCTGGGGACTGTCTCCCCGGCTCTTCTGGATGTCCCCATGAGGGTGGCGCTGGCCCCTGTCCGTGCAGCCGTGCCCGAGTGCACATGGAGTGGCGGGCGCCCAGGGCGCGGACCCGCAAGTCGGCGGCCTGCTCTCCGCACAGCATTGATATCGGGGTCACGCAGCGAGTCAGTTTCCCGAACCGGCTTTCCAGGGTGGGGGCGGGGTGGCTGCCTTTCAAACTGCCCAGCCCAAGCATCAGGGAGGTAGGGGGCTGCCTCGCCCCCAGCCCACCTCCTCGCTTAACACGCCCCTCTCTCTCGGGAGCCAAGGAGGGGGCTGGGGGAGTCCTCCCCACAGCCTCGGGCGGCGGCTGCGGCTGATCGCAGCCCAGACAAGCGCCTAACACGGTCCCGAGAGAGCCACGCGCTGCGCTGGCCGCCACCTCCCTGCTCCGGTTCCCACCTACCCCCCAGGCAGCCGCCCCTCACCTCTCTCAGCCCCGGGGGCCTGGGCACCCACCTGCCGTGGCCCCTGCTCTAGCCCGGGGGAGGGGTGCCATGAAGGAAAAAGGGGAGACTCACCGCAGCTGCCTCCTCCGGGGGGCAGCCCCCCGGGGCTGCGCCTTCCAGGGCTCTGGGGAGGCGTGTGTAGGGGGTGGGGGGTGCCCCGTGGGCCCTGCAGCCTCCGCCTTGATTGAAGCCCAGGCTCAAATCCTTCTCTGTGGGGTGGGGTGGGGGGGCAGACTTCCAGAAAAAAAATCCCACCCCTCCCCAGACCAGATCCAAGTGATGGGGGGGGGGGGGGGGGCTAGAAAATCCCTTTCTGCAGAGAGCTTGGAGCCCACGACGGGGCTGCACCCGGTCTCCGGTCCGCTGCCGCCACAAAGCCGCGCCCCCGTCCCCCCCTCCCGCCCCGCCTGGCCGGCCCCCCTCCCCCGCTCCCCCCACGCCCTATGGCCGGCCCGGGGCGGGGGCTGGGCCGGCCCCGGGTTGGCCGTACTGGGGAGGCAGTGGTGGTGGATCAGGCGGCGGGGCGGCTCCTCCCCGGCCGGTCCTGGAGCGAGGGCAAGAGCCTGGAGCCGGGCGAGCGCGCCCGCTGGCCTGGGGTGGGGGCTGTGGCTGGGGTCGGGGGTGCCTTTCTAGAAACCCTCGCCAAATATAGTCAGTGGATAGGGGCATTCCTAGAAATGCGGCGGCGATGTCAGCTTCGACCTGTGGGGGCAGAGACTGGGGTTCTCCAGACTGGCGGGGGGATGAGGAAGTGGGGACATTCCCCACTTCCAATACCCCCTTGGCCGGGAGGAAGCAGGAGGAGGGAGTCTAGGCGAGGCCCCCATCGGGCGTGGGGGGTGCGGGGGCCAGCAGGATTCCTCCAAACGCGCTCCAGGGATCCCTCAGCTCGGGGTGCAGGGGTGCCCGAATGGGGACACATCTACTTAAGATTCAGACCCGCCCCCAGATCTGCCTCCCCCTTTTGGGAACACCAGTGCCAGTGCCAGCAGGCACTTTTAACTCTTCCTCCAATTTGCAACACTACCCTACCCCCATGAGCAAACAGTAGAAGTTGAGCAGCACCCAGACCGTCCCCCACGCCTGCTCCTCACCCCTCGGTAGCCCCTGGTCTCCTTTGGGAAGACAAGTCTCTTGGAGACTTCAGGTTTGAGACAGGACGGACATCCTCAGTTCCCAAGAACGCCCTCAAATACCACCCACCCTCAGGCCAAAAGATAAAGTTGTGCTACCCCTTCCTCACTTTAACATCGCTTTATTGCTGCTTTCGAAGTCCCAGACTCTGGGAGATACTTGGGAAATTGGGGGTGGGGCACGAGGTTCCCTTCCTCACGTGGCCAAGATCTGGCCTCTGGTGCTGTCTCCAGCACCCCCCCCCCCCATGAGCTACTCGTCCACCATAAAGTACTGGAGTTTCCAACAATAAAGCGACCCTCCCCCACACTCAGCCACCTCCCGGAGTCTTCCCCACCCCGTCCACTTAACCAAGGATCCTCCGATCATGGCAGAAGTGTCCCCTCTTACCTAAAGAGGATTGAAATAGCTGAGACATGACTTGTCCCCCTTGACCGACCAGCCTCTTTTCACGAGAACGTGACTGGACTGAGCTTTCCAAGATCATAAAAAATGCATGTGCTGTCCTCTGTTGGCCAGCGCGTGTCACACTCACAGAACACATCGGCCAACCCAGGGGCACTCCTGGTGGCATCAGGAGGGTCCCAGGGCCCCAGCAGAGGGAGTGGGCAGGTCATCCCCCACCTCTCCTTCCGCTTCAGTTGCACTCCTACCCAGCACCCCATGGAGTGGGGGAGGGGTGTTCCTGGTTTGCATCCACTACACAAAAACATTGACCCACTGACCTTGCTCATGTCTCTTCCCCCTTGTTGAGCCCTTACTCCGGAAGCCTGGAGGACAGTGCTCAAGGGGAGGTGAGAATGGCTGCAGTGGGTCTCTGGGCTCTCTCCCGCCCGTGGACCCCTAGGGAATGGTTTCTTCAATAGCAATTTGGAAGAGAAACGTGGCACCAGGGAAATCGGTCAGATCCCTCTAAGGCAAAGGGCTGATCACTGATCATTATCAGTCCCCATTTTTCCCAGAGGATGTGCTACATGCCAAGCTCCAGAAGTATATACTATCCTACCAAACTCACCCCATTGTCCAGATGACAAGACTGAGGCTTAGACAGCTGTTCCCTGAACTAATGCCTGCTTGCCCTCCATGTGCTAGGCACAGAGCTGATGCTAGAGCTTGAGGTCTCTGCCCTCAAGGAATTCGTGGTTTCAGGGAGAGTCACAGGTCAGCAGACGATTGTCATGCTGCCCTTGTGGTGGGCAGCCCAGCAGCCTCAGATCTGGGCAGCACGAGAGACTACAGCTGGGCTGGGCTGTCTCACCTCGGCCCTCAGTGCCGGTTCCACTTGGGTGCTGTCTCCATTGAGGCCGCACTGTCCCCGAGGTCTCATGTCCACCTCTCACCAGCTGGGAGCCCCAGGGCATTGCTTAGCTTCTCTGGGCCTCAGTTTCTTTGTCTCTAAAGTAGGAATCATAATACCTGCCTTATAGGGCTTTTTAGGAGGATTAAATGAGACAAAGTTTGAGTAGGGGTATTTGGCAATTTTTTCCATTTCCTTCTATATGTATTTTTCTTTTAATGTATTCTCTGTTTAGAAGTTGCAGTTTCAAGTACTATTAACAAAAAATACCCAATGAAAGTTTCCTAACAAGTGAAAAAATAGTGATAAATGGAAAAAATTGGCCTCATGAACATATTTAGACTTGTACTTAATATGTATTCCACTGGAAGTTAATTATCTGACACTTACACAAGCATTAACACTTCCAAATCACTCTGAGTAGCGAGCACTTCAGTCCTTTGCCACCTATTGCAGTGCAGAGCGTTGCTCGGCTTCTGAAGGCAGTGCGGGCGGGCATCATGAACGGTCAGTCTAGATGCTGCTGACGTGTTGTTCTGTTCCTTCCCCCAAAGATGTGTCTGTGAAGTGTCCTTACACTTCCTTTTCCTCTTCCCTCTCGTCTTCCTGCAGCTTCAGAATTATATTTTGGATTTCTTCTCTTTTTGTTCTCATTCTTGGGGAAGGAAACCAGTTTGCAAAATTCATAGGTAGCTCAGAATCGAGAATTGGCTTTTTCTTAGAATTTTAACAGCATTTGACCAAGAAGGGCCTCTGAATGAGTGGTTGGTTGTTCTCGGTATCACTACCTGGAGGAGGGCGGGGGGTGGGGGGGCGGAGCACTGAGCTGGCACTGAAAAGTGGAAAAAGCTGGGCCAGCAGGAGGGGTGGGGTCCAGGCAGCAGGTGTAGCGCGTGCAAAGGCCAGGGCCCTCTGGCAGCTGAAATGGCTCCTCCTGTCTGAGCAGCCCTGGCTGAGAGGCTTCAGGACCTGACCCCCACCCCGCACATCAGTGCACTAGCCACAGGATTCTGGAAGCTCACCTCATCACCCCAGTTCAGGCTGGATGCAGAAGGAAAAAGGCTCTGGATGGACCAGCAGGGCCCCCAGGCAAGGCCCCACAGAAGGCAGCCAGGGCCCTGCCTTTATCTTCCACTTTAAACGCCCCCACAAGACGCCCCCTGGTCCCTCTGAGGCCTGCCCCTGCCCGGTCTGGATTGGCTTCTCGTGACTCAAGCTAGTGGCCTGAAATCCAGTCAAGCACCGGAAGCGCTGCCAGACTCCGGAAATCAACCCAGTCTCCAGCCGGAAGCCCCAGAGGCCCGCTCTGGCCTTCTCCCAGGAAGGAGCCCCACCCGCACCCAGGTTTCTGGCCCGAGGATGGTGCCAAGACCTAGGCCAGAAACACAGAGAGGACACACCAGGAAGGAGCAGCCTCCAGGAAAGGCCTGGGCTCCTGGCTCCCAGGCAGAGAGAGAGAGAGAGAGTTGAGAGAGGCCTCTCCAGTGTGCCAGCACCCAGTCACTGTCATCTCCTGAGACTCCCAGAACGTCCAAAATGAAAAACTTCCAAAGCAGACATACAAAAATTGTTGTACCATAGTTTTAATTATTGGTATTAAACAAATGTATGTGCTTAAAAAACAGACCCACACAAACAGTAATGAAGGCAGTCATAGCAATGTCGTTATGTTAGATGTGGAACAATGGCAGGATTTACAGAAAATTCATTCTTAGGTGTGTCCAGCAGGACTTCTGGACACAAATCCACAGTGGCATGAGGGCCGTCTTCCTGTCCCAGCCCTATCAGAAGGAGCTTATGACCACCCTGTGCTCTCTTCTGGAGAAAATGTTAAGAATCCAGTCTGAAAAAATCTTTCTGAGTATGAGGACTTAGGCCAAATGGTCCTTACAAGTTAGGTGCCCTGAAAACCAGAGGTCACCCCACCCTTGCCTCTGACCCCTGACAGGATGCTGAGTGGTGGAAGCAACTTTAAGGCCTTTTATTTTGCCCTGCCTACCTGCCCCAATGCCGCCTGTCCCCCTGCAAGGGGCAACAGAAATTGGGGTCAAAGACAGTCCCGGGAAACCACAGTTTCTGGGACCCCAGCTCTCAGGCTCTGCAGAGTCGGGTGGACAGGGCTTCTGGCCTGCCCAAGTTTTCATCAGGCCACCCGGGGCCGCAGGTCCCTGTGGGCCCACAGCCTTGCATTTCTTATAAAATGAAAACCACGGGGCAAGCTCCATCCCATCTGTGAGGTTATCAAGGTCCCCAGGAGGCAGAGAACTCCAGGCCCAAGGTGGACAGAAAGACAAACTGCCGTGTGAAAAGACCGAGGGGTCTGTGGTTCCTGGTGGGCTGGGAACAAGATCCTTACCGGCTCAGGGAATCATGACACAGGTACCCGAAGGCCGGCTAACCAAAAGCTTGCAATGAAAAGAGAAGCCAGAAATCAGCCTGCAATCTGGAGGCAGATCCTCAGCCCTCCTGAGTTTAGTTTCCTTGCTGGCAACGGTGGGGCTGTTCGAAGGATTGAATTGCAGGATCTGCACGAAGTGCTTGTCCAGGTCTGGCACGTATTATGTGCTCAATAGATTGCAGCAACTATCATTAGCTATTAAATGGGGGTGAATAGATTTACAAGGGAGAGGGGTTCTCCCTTTTTTCCTTAAAGTGGGGTTGGTGTCCCTGGCATCAGTGTCCTGCTTGCCCCTCAGTCCAGTGGAACCAAAGCAGAAGTGACACTGAGCCTGACTGGGTGGGTCCGCCTGGCCCAGCTGGACCTGGTCACCGAGAAA